GACCACAACAATAGAAAATTTCAACTGTAGAGAATCTTATCATCAAACCCCATTCTTACATAAATCATTTAGGGGCCCAAAATTCTCAAATGTTTGTGTGTGTGTGTGTGTGTGTGTGTGTGTGTATATATATATATCAAATCATAACATATGCTCAATAATTCTCTCCCATAAATTTAATGTATGATACATTAAGGGGTTGTTTGGTTGCCTGAATTAGGAGTGTAAAGTAAAACAATTACCTGTATTTATTAAATTTAGTTGTTTGGATACTTTTGAGTGGAACAAAAGGAAATCATGGGATGCATTAGGCGTGTATTAGGGAGGTTGTTTTGAGTGAATTAGAAACCCGCTCAATACGAGCGGGTTATAAATTCATCGGAACAAAAGCTTCGATCTCGTGGTGCTGTTCGGCTTCATCGCACGATAGGCTTCTTCGGCTCCTTCGCTCTTGTCCGACTTCGCTCTGGCAAGCAGCTCCGGAGAGAGTTCATCACGGCCCGCCTCTTCCATCATGGCCCGCCTCCCCTGCCCCGCCGTTTGGCAGATGTGTCTCCACATCTGCGTCGGAGCAAATTCCCAATCTTTTGCCAACACCGGCGCGCTCGTCATGGCATCAAGAATTTTCCGACGAGCCGCGGAATTGTGCTCGGCTTACTCAAATGCTTTGTTGGTCTCAGCGGCGCTATTTTCACTCAGCTTTACTTGGCGTTCTACGGCGGTGATGATTTGAAATCTCTCGTTTTGCTTGTTGCTTGGCTACCGACCGCTGTATCGCTTGTGTTTGTGTATACTGTACGTGTAATGGAGCCGCCGCGTGGCAGTGGCGTTGGGGATTCGGCAAAGCCTTTTTATTATTTTCTGTACCTCGCTGTCGCTCTCGGCGTTATCTGCTGGTTATTATTGTGGTGGAGAAGGTTGTTTTGTTCTCCCGTGCCGAGATGATTGCCAACGGGGCCGTTGTTATCTTTCTTCTCGTCATCCCTGTCGCAGTTGTAGTGAAGGAAGAAGTTAACAGCTTGAAGCAGAGCATGGCTGTCACAGAGCAGAGGAGAAATAGCATTGATGGTGATGGTGCCCTCTTCTACTATAAAGATTTGCCTCTTTTTATCTTTATTTTTATTTTTTATTTTTTATTACTTTTGAGCCCATTAAAATTTCATTTTGAAACATTTTTTTGAAAAATTATCATTTTAAAAAAATTATCTGAAATAAAATTTTAAGTCAAATTCACATACAAATTACATATGAGATATTTGAATTCAAAGATCAAGATGAGCTGTATTTTTTTTTCTTTTAGTTAATGAGAGGTTGAAAGATTATATCATTACTATTATTTAGGAATTTTTACATACATAACACTTAAATCTATTAAACATACATATTTAACATCTAAAATTTTATATTTACTAATATACTACCTAAAATCCCTGTTTTAACCAATTCTAACATTTTGGTTAAATCTTCCGTCAAAAATCACTATTAGCGACTACCTTCTTTGTTAATGGCCTCCTTTCACTGTGAATATAAATATTTCATCGCTTCAATGGAGTGGTAGAGTGGTAGAATGTAAGGAAAGGAGAATTTTATGTGGTGTATTAGTAAATATTATAGTTTATGTATTAAATATATATTTTTAATAGTTTTAAATATTATGTATACAAAAATCTCTATTATTTATTACCCTTATTCAAAAATAATAGTAATAGATATTTTTTTGTAAGGAAATTTATTGCCATGTATAATTGTCAGAAATTTAAAAATCAACAAAATAGCTTAAACTTGTACGAAGCTACCAAACAATAAAAAAGTTGTCCCAAATGAAGACTTAAATTTTGTTTGGGATGATTTTTTTATTGCTTCTTAAAGCCATTTTTTCAGTGTAAATGTAAAAATAAAAAATTTTAAATTGAAAAGTTGTTTTAAGAAGCAATAAGAAAGTCGTCCCAAATGAAGTCCTTGTCATCATAATTAATTAATTAAGCTCAAGCTCAAATTAGAGGTGTAAAAATAAATTATTATAAAAAAGCCGCTTTTACTTTACTCTGGTTCTACCTAACCAAATAAGGGAAACAATTCTCCTGTGTTTATTTTGCAAACAACCAAACAATCTCAAAGTATTCAGAATACATTGCATTTACTTTACACTGCATTTCTTTTTCAGGCAACCAAACAGCCCCTAACTTAATTCCTCTATAATTCACACTCTTATGAAATACTTTTATTCACAAAAAATAGGAACCAATACATTTCTTCTCCACTCATCTGACATCTTTATTCATCTTCTAAGCATTTCAACACACATATTAAAATATCATCAAATCTAATTGTTCTTTCCATACTTTATTTTATTTAAAGCCTCTCTAACTTCAATTTTACTAATGCAACAATAAAATAAAATCTTTATTTTTATTTAGGATGTAACAACTCAAAAGTTTAAAATGAACTTATTTGAAAAACATGAAAATTTTGAAATTGAGAGCAGAACCATTGGAAAATGCTACCGCGGTATTAAAGGCTCTATTCTACAGTAACTCTAGATTCAGCATACAGCGCTGCGGTGCTAGGTCATGGGAGCACCGCGATGCTAGGCACTTAAAAGTGTTTTTACATATATTTAATCTAAATCCATGCAATCACCTCACTCCCTCCCTCACTCTCATTTTCTTGGGTGAAAAAGAAAGGAAATAGGAGAAGAAGAGAAGTGAGAGAGGAGAGGAGAGAGAGAAGAGAGAAAGCTTAAACCTGTTACGAATTTTGTTCTATTTAAAGTAAGTGACTATAGTCTTACTCCGGTGTTCAATGGTTTTGATTTTTACAAGTTTTCTCTCTTTCAAATCGATAAAAAAGCATTTCTTCGTGATTTATCGAATTTATAACATGTAATTTTTCGTATATGATATATATGATCCTTACAATCATTTTGACTATAACATTATTGAATTTCACTGGGTAAAATGAAGTTATGAATTTCAGAAGCTATTGGCTAGTATACAGATTTTTCTATATTTTATTCTTTTGTTAGACTTTGAAACAAAATTGTAAAAATTGACCATGAAAATGTATTATGTTTATCATTGTATATTTTTTTCTTAAATTCAATTAGTTAGCTCTGGTTATCAATAATTAGTTGTCAATGATCTAGTTGTTAAAAAATAAAAATAAAAATCATAAAGAGAAGGAAAAATAGAAATGAAATTCTTCCAATTTAGATCCCAAGACATGACATATGATGCTAAAGTCATTAAAGTCAATCATATTCTCACAATCTTTATTGAAATACTTATCAAAATATCTCATCCACCTATGTTATATATCTTCTTCTAAGGACATTCATTTTTTATCTTCATCCTTAATGCACTTCATTTGAACTAGATTATTACTTCTCTTATCTATTTATTTGATTGACTTATACTTAAATTCTTTATCCTCCTTAGCATCTAATCTATTAATTAAATCATTAAAAGTTGAAGTTTTGGTATCTCATATTACTTTATTGAACTCCCTTCAAGCCCCTTTATATCTTTCACAAATTTCTGAGTATTTGCATCCAAACTAATTTTTATAACAAACCTTTTATTTTTATATTTTTCTTGCATATTTTGATTCCACCACAAACTAATTTACTATTATGAACTTTTCCTTTTGAAACTTCAAGCACATAATTTGTAACATTCTTAAAATAAATATCTACTTTTTCCCATTTAATATTACCTTTATCGTGAACAACCAAAATCTTGAGTTTTGAAATCTTAAATCTTACTCTAAAAAATAGCTTTATTAGCATTCTTTAAATGTCTACATCTAATCCTATGATAAATTTTACTTTATTAATCATATCCACTCATTCATTTTAAAGTCCAAAACTAATAAACAAAATGAGCTACTACCTTCGTTTTAATAATATCTGCAATCTAAATGATCTATTTTTTATATAATTAATAAACAATCTAAGTTTCATTATATCCATTCTTATTATAAGTGATGAGCTACTATTTTTTTTCTTAAATAAGGTATTAGCGATTACAAAATCATAAACTAAAAAAATTTAGAATGGTGCTACCACCTTCGTTAGTCGCTCCAAATTTATAGCCACTATACATATTTTAAAGTCTCATATCACTCTACCAACATATCTATTTAAATCTCATCCAATAAAAATTCTTCATTCAAAATATATTCTTTATATTCTATTTTCTCGGTCATTTCAAAATTTAAATTTTGAACACATATAAATCTACCTGAAAAATAAAAGCACTTATAATATTAATAATTTTAGCATTAACATCAATCTTTAAAGCTATAATTATGTCTCTAATCCTATTAATTTAAACAAGATTGTCTTTCAAATTCTTATCTATAATCACATCTACACCAATTCTAGTATAACTCATACTTGAATACTAAAGGTTAAAATATTAAATTATCAATCTCCTTCACTTTTTCTCCAACCCACTTAGTTTCCTAAATACATAGAATATTTATCTTCTTATTAATCATAATATATAACAAATAGCTATATTAACTATTTGTTTCAAGAAAGCAACTTTTTTCTGAAGTTGTTGTAAGTATTAAAAATATATTTACTTTTGAAAAGAATCAGATAATTGCATTCTTATAGCAACCATATTCTAGCAAATCAAGATGTAAAAAATAGTTTCTCACTACATAAATTTCTAAAAAAAGTCAATAACACAATAGCCAAATAGACGTACAACAGCAGACTGAAAAGCAATGCACTGAAGAAGCTATTCCAAACACTAAGTCAATTTACATCCTAGCACAAATTGAAGAAAAACGGAAGAAAAATAAATGTGACTAGGAAACCCCGTCAATTATTACACATAAAAGTCATTAAATACGGTTTTTTGCTTATAAAGAAGGATTTAAAAAACACTTAACAGAAACCTGAAGAAAAGGTCCAAAAAGAATACAAATCACAAGTGGGACAATGAAATATTATGGCATGCATGAACAAAAAATTGAAGAAAGCGACATACCTGCCCAAGATGAATAAGCGCAACAAGAATATATTTTTTGTATGCTTCTATAGCTATAGCATTAATCGTTGACATTGGTGCAGTAACAACCTGTCAATTGCAATTTACTATCAAAAAACATTTGAAGGCAGAATTAGCATCCAAACTGTATGCTAGTTACACACATTATGAAGACACTCCAAAGCTTTTGGAAATCGCTTTAACCCAATATTTATCATTCCCCTGTCAATCAAAAAAAAACCAAAGGAAATCAGTGATATTTCTTCTACAACTACGATAGAAAGAAATGCCATAATGATACTACAATATATAATAAAATTAAAGATAATACAAGAATAAATAAGAATTCTAAAGTCCTGACCGATATTGATGAAGATAGTTACCAGGTTAATACAATGAAAACAAATTGGTCCCTCAAAGAGAATTTAATATAAACACAAATGAAAATCAAAACATCGTAGAATAAGGAATGACAAATACTATAAGTTCCTGCATATGGAAAAAATTCATCATATCATACAAATGAAAATAATGCATCAGTATTTCACCTATTATTTTACTAGTGCACGGCACAGGAAAGGGCAACCAGATTTACTTGTCGTCTCGTCCAGCATGTATTTTGTGCAATATAAAAATATGGATTGTGTTATTACATGCAAAGGCTTGTAGTGTTACTCAATATGTTTCACCCCATTAAAATGGTAAGAATAATAATAATAATAATAAATGCTCCTGCCGAACTGAGACTTCAATCATCATCATTATCCTTATCCTAACTATCAAAACTAGCTTTATGAATCCTCATCTCCATTTGTTCTATTAAATAAAGAAAATTGGAGAGGGAAAAGACTTAATTTTATTATACAAAACTATCCCTATTTATAGATCTATATGATTATTTAATAAAGAAATAAATAGCTATAGAATCATACATAATTGCCTTAATAAAATCCTTCCTAAATCAGCCACCAAAATATAGGAGATCGGCGTGATCCAGGTAAGCCTCACATGGATCCCCATGTTGGCCGTGAGATCAAGGGCCAAGAGATGGATGAGATTTAAGTTTGACCACCATCGCCCGTCTATGATCCTTCCGACCTTTGCATCCACTGACTATTATGATCCTTGAACCATCGTTTTACAACCATAATCATCGAATCCTTATCACCCAACCACAGTCCTCTGACCCCGATCGTCCAACTACCATCTTCCAAACAGCATCGTCCGACTACGGTCCTCCGACCACCAACCTCCGACAATCCTTTCAACCTCCATTGCCCACCAATTATGATCATCTAACCACCGTCACCCAATTATGATCCTCGGATCACTGTCACCCGACTACAATCCTCTGACCACCATCACTCGACCACCATCAAAATGTTATCTTGGCTGGAATCACCTAACAATTTTTGCAAGAAAAAATTCATTTCATCTGGGCAAAACTAAGTATATTTGTTCATTACTAAGTTCACTTTTGAAAGAAATAAAGTGATCTTCTAATCTCTTAAAAGCATGCCTCCACTATTGAAGATCATAGGCTACGATAGTGAATTTTCACAAGGTCAAATTTATCACGGTAGTAGGTTGCCTAGACACTCTTAGCATTTATGGACAAATTGGTACACACCATGATAGAAAATGATTATACACGCAACTAAAAAAGAGTACATCAAACGCATGAAACTTCCTGCCAATGTTGGGCCTAAGGGTCTAATAGAACACAATCTTGCCAATACATTATAGGAGCATATTCATGATTCAAATCCATAAACTTCATTACATCATGAAGCTAACTTAATCATTCCTTCAAACCCACCCTAAAATAGCAAAGGTATAATATTTATTATCTGAATGAAAATCATGAATTTAGTTACTGTCCTAATGGAAATCACCAATTTCTGCATAATTTCCACTATCATCAAGTAGAAAGAAGAAATATTTAGATGTGGAAGAAGAGATTAATTAATAACTGGCCATGGTTACATTGGTATTCCGGAATGCACGAGCAACGCAGAGTGACCATAAGTTAATAGAACACACTACTGCTTGGATATAAATATCTATAGGATTATTTAAAAGTTTATGAAAGTAATAAATGTGAGAGTAGCATAGACTTCAGAGTTTAGATATAAACCAGCTTTATTAAAAGAAAGTATATGAGCTTGATCCACTGAAAGTAAATCAAACTTCCTCCTGAACTGTAGAAGGCAATTTTTTTTATTTTGATGTGATGCCTTTCAATCTAAACCAACTTTAGGAAGATTCTAAGCTTACACACAAAAAAGCAAATCAACTTCCTTCTTTTAAACTCTTGCGTGATATATTTAGACTTTTTGTGTACTAATGCAAGGGAAATACAGTTCACTACATCTCTACAATGTCCATTTTTTCCCCCACAAAGAATTGTCCAGTAAAAGCACTGCAAACTCAATGAAATATTTCAGTAGCTGCTTTCAACAAGCTCTTCACCACATTAACAATATTTTGTAACATGTTTAGAATAAGTACCCTCCAGAATCAGCTACTTTCTAACTAATTCTACCACCAACAACATTTCAACACCTGCTATGCATGGTTATTCTACTGGAACTAAAAGATACGGCCTTCAGGGGAAACATAGCATGAAAACTACCGTGGCATTTCATGATCATTTAAACCAAAGAAAAAAAGAAAATCAATATGTACATCACGTAGAACAGAAGAAAAGAAGCATAACTATAAAAGATTCAAGATTGTTAAAAATTCAATATTTATTGAAAGAACAAGATCAAAATTAAGCAAATTTAAAATGCTTGGAGTAAAAAGTTCCAGCCTAGACAATGGATGTCTGACAGCAATCCTGGCTGAAGAATACAAGGGAGTAACTTTCAAAACACATTGATATGAAAACGGAGCTAGGCTAGACTCTTCATCCTTAAATGAAAAGGCATTTGTCAAATTCATAAAATCTAAAACCCAGAATAAACTTGGATATAATAGACGAGAAGCATGTCAAGTTTAATATATATATTGAATTTTTAGACTGCATGAGTTTAAATTCAAAAATAACCCAACTTCCATTTGTTTGTATAGGATGGAAAAGATAAAGCCAAGTTCACAAATTTTTCATCGATTATGTATATAAGACATGCAAAAATACTATTATTTGTTAACCAATTCAATCTGATGCACCATCAGCATGTTTTCAATAACTTTTGGGTTTTTTATGAGAAGAGAATTGTAGCAAAAGTATAAACAATGGCAAGATATATGCTTACCCATAGTAACAAAACAGGAAGAAGTCCCTGGGCTGATCAATCTCCAACACCTCATCATCCAAAACACTTGTGCCTGCTTTGTAACACTTTGACAGTAGACAAAGGAAGAGGAAATCAGAGTGAAGTGCAGTCAATTGCTCATATGAAGATTGAAGTTTGCGAACAGCAGTCCTCAATGGAGCCACCCCCTGTATGGGCACCTGATGCTGTATTACTTGATCTTTGAACCTCTTGCAAACAGATATAACTGGAGAAAGATGAAAGACAAGGGAAAAACAAGTATCATTAAGAAACATTTCAATAACTGAAAAAAAAAAAAGAAATTTGAAGAGAGAGAGCAGAAAATTGATCATTTTAGGGCCATTAAATAGATCATACATTTGTCCGGTGCCAGCCGTATCTGTTCTGCCGAGCAGAAATTGATAAATCCAACAACACATGCAAGGAAACTGCTAATGTTCTCTCTCAAAATAGGTCCAGAAGAGTATGCTTCCCTATGAAATAATGCATAGCTAGATAATTGATATATAATTAAAAGAAAACAAAAACATCCAAATCATATTTAACAAAATAAGGCACTGCGGTGTAGTAAGCCATTGTAGTAGTCGAAAATAAGCTTTGCAAAAAAAAGAAAAAAGATGGATATCAAAATAGAAAGTAAAACAAGTGTCAGGAACTCTTTTCTTTAAATTTTGCTGTATAATTGCATGTCCAGGGAATCAAACTTTAAAACGAGGTTAAATTAAATTTTGAAGCAACAACTTATGTGGATGGTCGATCACCCCACTTGATAAGGCTGCACCAGTGGAGTCACTATAAGAATGCAACTGATTTTGAGGGATCAATCCATGTTGAAAATGCACACTGCAGTAACTGGTGGGCACAAATAAGTAACTTATGTAACACAAAAAAGCAGATCAAAGCCATATCCCTTATGTCAGAGAAATTATTCCGTGCGGAGTCCGGACGGTTCGGATGTGAGCATACACAGTGTGTACACTGAATATAATTTTGTACATAGTTTGGTTTTTTTTACACACTGTGTGTACAAATACTGTGTACACTCACATCCGGACGGTTCTTTACCGTCCGGACTCCCACGGAATAATTTTTCCTTATGTCAATAGTAAAGATCACATTGCATTTCCAATTCTAACATGAATGCTTTATATATACAGAAAAACCCTAAACAACGTTGACTGTAAAATCATGGATTTCCATCTGTAGGTCCCTAACTTCCCACAGTCCATATTATAATATAATCAAAGTTTTGATGAAAGTAATTTCAGAATGGCGTCCCAACTCATGCATTCATTTATTGCCACGATGTAAATTGTTATAAATTGCTTAAGGGTGAAAATGCATCACAAAATTGTGACATGACAATCTGTTTCGCTCGTGGTTGAGGCCAAAATAATAATTCTCCTATAGCAAGAAATCATACCAACAGAAGGCAAAAAGTTTGTACTCCCACCTGATCCCTCATTTCACTGATTTTATCAGAGAGCTCAATGTACTCTAAAAAAAAACACAGAAGAACTCAAATACCATCTGAGGTGCTGTTTGGCAACAAGTGGGATTTAACTTTAGTGGGAAAGAAAAAGAAACAAAAATACACAAATTCGATGATCAAAACCATCGACCACACCCAAAAAATAGGGGCACATAAATCATTAACCCGATAACTAACCAAAGCCAAAAAAAAACGATATTAAAAGAACTAAAAGAAAGAAGAATATAAGGAAAAGCAAAGGAAATTTACAGAAGAAAGAGATAACCGAGGGAATGACTGGAGGGGTCGAGTTGCTCGATGAAAGGGACAAGACGAGAGGCCTGCACGCGAAGCGTATCCTCCGATTGCTTGAGAATAGCGTGGAGGTGAGCAAGCTCGACGGGATTTCCCGAAAGATCCTGAATGTGCGCTACTAGAACTTCCACTGAATCCATGTAGAGGAAGCAACGCCGGCGAGGGCGACGGAGGGAGTCGGAGAAGGGTTCTTTCGTTTGATTTTCGGGCGAGAGTTTGCTGTAGCAGAGGAATAGTTGGGAAAAGCACTCTATTTGACGGTCAAGATTGATCCGCAGCTTGACGATATGTGCCCTTTTTTCCCCTAATTTTATGTTTACTAATTGAATCTTTTGTATTTACAAAATATAAATACTAAAAGGCAATTTGGATTTTTGTGGTAATATATCAAAAAATTTGTTTCAAACCAAATATTTTCTTTTTTTTTATTTATGGACAGTTTATTAAAGACAGTCATAGAAAAAAATAATTTAAATGTGTTCAAATTCAAATTTTAATTCGAATATTATTGGTACATATTTGAATCAAATTTGCATTAAGATCAACAACGCTCATTGTTGTATAAATCATGACCGTGCTGTAGAATTTCACGGTGAACTTTTGGACATATTTCTCTAAAAAAAGAATCAGCAAATACATTTCTGAAATTTCAAGTATTGTAATATAAAGTCAAATTTCTCTCCTAAATTGATTTTACTTCGAGAAATTTGACATTATATGCCCTGTAATTATTGTAATTGGTGAATAATGTAATATTATAGTTAATAGAGGTTGACTTTTAGTCAACCTAATTTGGCTATCAATGTCTATTCATATGTTCATTGGTTATATATATTTTGTATTTTACACTTCCATTTTGATATTACTAAAAGTCATGAGTCATCTCCTTGCTCTTTATCTTCCTCTGCTTGAATGATTTTAATTATAACTCTATGATCTATAATTGGGTTAGATAGATGTGGGTCAAGCCTAACATTGAAAACTAGTTATTATACTATTATTGATAGGATGGCTAGTACTTCATCTCACATTATAGGGATTCTTTTATATTATTTACCTTCTCTCCTTTGAGGTCCAACTGACATTGATTGTCACACACCCTTGAGATATAATTAGTGCTCGTGTTTTATTTTTCCTATTGCATTATTATGCATTTTGATCATGTATTACCATTTATATTATTTCTTGACTTAACCCTTTCTTAATGTTATGATTAGATCCTTTTGAATAGAATAGCTTCTATCTAAGTTTTTCTCTTTTGACTAGGACACTGGATGAATTAGCTATTCTCTATAGGCTTGTTCGATGCCTCGTGTGGTCATACTTCTATGAATTATAATTGTGTTATCTTACCTCTTATTCATGCTTTTTTTATTGGATCCATTTTTAATTAATCATCTATTTTAGCTATGTCCCTCCCTAGTGTATCATGCTCTTTTAGCTAAGTTATTCCTAATATATTCATACTTTTTTTACTATATATGTATTTAACCTAGCCATGCTCATTTTGTTATGTTCTCTCCTTGTGTGATTATGCTCTTATGGACATAGTAGCTTTAATTTTGCCATTCCCTTTTAGTTATGTCTTCTCTAACTTGGCCATGTCATTCTGCTTGTGTCTTATATGAACTTAGTCATGCACTTTTGACTAGGTCATTCCATTATTTTTCCATACCCTTTGACTGAACTCCTTTGACTTGGTAATGCACCTATAACAAAATCCTTTTATGTTTAAGTAGATTGAATCTATTTAATCATCCTTACAATTGCACTATGGATATTAGAAGCTCTTTTTAAATATTCCAAACCATTTGTCTTTTAGGTATTTAAACCCTATTCAAACTCCTGGATATTTATAAGTTAGTTATGATTGTTTAGTGCACATTTATGTGGCTACTTTACTACACTATGATAAAGATATTTTTCTTATAGGTGGCTGACATATAACCTTATGAACGTTTATTTTATTTTGGTTGTGTATCAATATTTAAAATGCCAAATAATGTAAAAGCTACTTTTTGGCATGATAAAGTACTAGGCTTATTTACACAAGGTTAACCCTAATGCATATAGCTAAAATTGCTTCATACTAATGATAGATAAATTTACATTAATTTCACATCCCTTAGGATAGTTTTGAAGTTGATGACATGATTTACCTAAATATGTTGAGGTGAATATCTTGCATGTTATATTATGACAGTTTTTATCTAGATAGGATTAGAAGTCTTATTGAGTAGTTTTGATTAGATATAGTTGAGCTACTTTATTCACCTCTTTTCATAAACAATCCTTACACCTCCAAGGATTGTAAGCACTATAACTTTCTAAGTCTCTTATAATTTATATATCTATAAATCTTTTTTTTAGATCATAATACTTCTTATGGATGACTTAATTCATCATTATTCACAAATTGTCTCACAACAGAGTTAGGTTGACTAACTTCTTGACTGAGTAATTTGAGATTGATCGCTTAAAAGGATGGATCTAAGAAATCTTGACTAGATTATTTATAAATTTTATTTAATTCTTGGTATCTATTTGACAACCTTTTGTGCTCTTTCACTCTATCTGATTATTCATAATCCAATAATGTTATGTATAAATTTTGTATATGGAGGGATAGTTATTTCACTTAGTTTTAAATGCATAGAATGCCTTATTAAGATGATGATCTTTAAATCATAATGAATTTCTCGATGTTTTATTAGAAAAATCAAAACACAATCATCTATCCTCTATCAAAAGTGTTTCTTAGAGGTGTTTTGAGTGTAACTAATCTTAGGAGCTACATTCTCTTTGTGAGATTGATTAACCTAGATTCTCTTCTAAATTTTAACTTTACATTTAACTTTAATGATATAACTTCTCATGAGGATTTTGTAAGTGCTGAGATAATATTTATTGATCATACTTATTAGACCTCTTCCACTATCTCTTTTTTATGAAATCTCTTATATACAACACCTTCACAACAACCCCATTCTCTCTTAATAAAAATTTGTTGGGGAATAGTCTCTCTATCTATACTAGAGACACGCTTGTTTTTTTATTTGTGCACTAGCCTCAAATTCTTTAGCCTTGAATCTTAGCTTTCAATCTTGACTCTGATATCGAATTTTTTTAATTATTATTACATGTAGTAATTAATTTCACTTTCTTCCATTCTTGCTTTACTTGGCATTTTAGTTCCCGTGGTTATAAATGGGTTAATGGATTCCTTATGTGTTTACTTTCTAGTCTTTACCTATTTGAGTTTGTTAGTTAAGTTTTTTTTTTAATATTTAAAAGTAAAATGTTTATTTATAAAATGATAAGTAAGAATCTTACTATTGATTCCTCGACTAAAGAGAGAATCGTTTGCCTCAAGTTGCTCTCCAGGTCAAAGTTCGCATAATTTTTCTTAGCAATTTATTATAGTAGACTCGGATTACGCTTGGTGATCCAATGTCTACAAAGACTGCTTTATACCCTATCGGAGGAAGGGGATTAGAGAATAGAATAGTTTTCCTCCTCCAATTTTTAGTTATATGACCTCTCCAAAAGAAATATCAATAAATATTACTTTGTAGAGTATAAAGCCCTCAATCTTTTATAAGTTGTCTCGCAATCCATCTATATTTTCAAGACTTTCTAGTTGTTTTTTCATAGTTCCATTAATGACCCCTCTAAGACCCATGCTAATTCATCAGTTTTCCTTTACAGTGGAAACATTGCATCCTTTTGTTGATCACTCTATTTTTGTTTATGGATAACTTGCTGTCTTTTTGGCCCCCAAATTTAATAATAGAGCCAAGCGCATAACAAATACTTTTTTGCATGCATAGTAATAATAGCAAAAGTATTCTACCATATCTTTAGTTCAAATATTCATGATTCTCTATACTAATGTGATGTTTTGCTAAAATCTATTAATGAAAAGCCAATTGAGATTACAATCTCCCTCGCATACCTAGAATATATCACATCCCCCTAATCTTGTTGTTCACTCTATAAAAAAGACTTCTCATTTATTAACCCAAAATATTAAGAAAGTGATCCCAAACATAAAGGAAAAAATTACATATTGCATATCAAAATCTAACTACCCAAATTGCTTCTACCAATATCAAGTACTACACAATTTCTCTTATCACCCTCTACTAGTTGTACACCTTGATAAGAGACTTGGGCTTGCCCAAGGATCCATCGAACAATTTCCTTTCACCTTCTCTATATCCAAAGAGGACTATGCCCCAAGAGTCTTCTCATACTACACCTATGATGCCATCAAGTTGATGTGCCTATATCTCATTTCTATTCGGATATTAAAAAAAAAAATTGGTTTTTCTTTACTTCTATTTATTATGATACATATTGTTAACATTTCACTTACTAAGCAAAAGAAGTTTACTCATTCTATGACCCTTGACAAGCAAAAGTGGGTAATAAAGGAGGCATCTTCAAATTCTCCTATTTTTTGCTTCTATTCCTACCCTATCAGCAATACACCTCAAGTTGTTGTACATATATCTCAAATCTATTTTGATATTAATAAGATAAAAAGAATGCTTTTTTTTCTACTTTTATTCTATTATAATACACCTTGTTAACATTTCACTTACCAAGGAAAAGAAATTACTCCATCTAAGACCCTTGCCAAGCATAAGTGGGTAATAAAGGAGGCTTCTTTAAATTCTCCTATTTTGCTTCCTCTATACATATCCTATCAACTACAAAATGTGTAAGGAAAGATTGATTAAAAATATTCACTAAGAGATCTATTATTTATGTTCATACCAATTTACTGGAGGTGATATTTACCTCCTTTACCCCAAAAGGGAAGGCATCCACTAATCTAATGCATGCCTTATATGATTCAAAAGATAAGACGTTAGGTGATATATATTGTTATTTATGTTCGCACATACGTATGATCTTGATGATCTCAAATTGCATTTAAAAAAACCAGATGATTGGAATGATCGACATGATCAAATAATTGATTTTGATAACTAAAAAACCTCCCTTCTACAAATCCCATTATGATAATAAGATGAAGTAGAAGAGGTCACCATAAATGTTAGCCATCTTAAAATCCATCTAAAGATGCTCCCTAAAGGAAATCAAGGAAAACAATCTGATCCCTTTAAGGATTTGGATATGCTTTCCTCAAGCATGATGAGATAGAGAATGGCGAATTGATCTATAATATTGAAGAACATATCAGTTTGATGGGGGTTTCTATATTTACTCTGATAGCCTAAATGGCTTCCCAACTTATTGTTCATCAACTATC